TATAAGTTGAGTATGTACCCAGACTTATAGGAACCGGGATAATGAAAAGGAACCGGGGAAGTAAAGGAAAAGAAAGAATCTGAAATTGAAGAACAGTAGGAAACAGGCCTTAATAAGGGAGATATGGATAAAAATGGGGTTATTTTAAAGGGAGTGGGGAGGGAGTGTTACACAAGGAACCTTGGGAATAAAACAAAAGAAGGGGCTCAAGAGAGGTTCAATCATAGGAGAAGGGTATTATTAAGTGAGAAATAGGAAAAATGGGGGCACTTTAAATAGGGAAACCATGGTGGAAGGGTGAGAGATAAATAATGCCTAGCTAGTTTATAAAAACCAGAGGGAACCATATTAATCGAAGTACCTACTGACAAATTATACATATACCTAGCTCAAGGAATATAATACATGCCTAGGCAAGGTTTATCTGAGAATGTTTGGTCTTTGCCCAAGCTTTATCTACATGGCACATAATAATTAAAAGTACCAGACTGGTAGAACTAACCTTCTTGGCTGTCTAACAGCCATACTTGAGGCCTGTACTAATTTGGTCAGAGGGACATAAAAGGACAGTTATCCTCCTTGCTCTTCTAGGTCGACTAAGCTCCAGGGGACTATGAATATCTCACAAAATGTCCTGTAACTGTGGTGAGTCACTTGTCCTCTTGATCAAGGAGGCCATGGAGACCTCACCAAATGGACTTGAACCTGTGTCCAGTCTACAAAGAGGAGGGTCAACAGAGGAAACATTTCCTCCATGCTTCCAAGTGAAGCCAGCCACAGTTGAGCAGGACCTTTGACTTATCTTCACATAGATGGAATTTGTACCAGAAAGGAGCCAGGAGCTCCTCTCAAGCCCATGTGACCCCTGAAGAACAGATTCTCCAATGACTTTGAGAGTAAAAATAAATTGGTTTATTTGGGCCAACTGTATGGTCTTAAACACCCAAAAGGAAAGTATAGTCAAAGGTTAAAGGGATCAATATAATTCTTTAAGAGTCCATGAGTATAGCTAAAAGCTAAAAGAAACAATGCCAGACAGGAGATACCTTCCTTTGAGTTACTGGCCAGAGTGGCCCAAGAGACTCCCAGACAGTAACCCAGCATAGAACTGGGAAAATGAACAGCAGATCCCAATCTTATCTACAGGAATATTGGCAACGGATTGCTGCTAGATGAGGAAGAGCTGCTCTTCGTAAAACAAGGAACTCTAGATACGCTGACTAGATTCAGCGGATGGACAAGCACTGGAGAACAGCTGGGGGCGCTGAGAACACAGTGGACAGTAACAGGGATTACAGAGTATATGGGCTCCAGTGAGCGGGGGAGACTATAGGAGGGTGCCATTTGGGATGTGGGTATATAGATGAATAAGATTGTTTTGGATGTTCTGTATGAAATGCACACAAAAAATCAAAAAATTTAAAAAATGAGTTATATTTGAGGAAGAAGCAGAAAAATTTGTGTCATGTTAATTAGTAGAGGTGAAACACATTACCACTGAAATCTACCCAATGATTTTATATCCATGCTCAGGTGGATCTCAGAAAGTAACTGACCGTGACTAGTAATAATCAGATACGTAGAGATTAGAGACATGTGTGCAAATATCTGTTAGTACCATTAAAAATTAGTTTTTCTGTATGAAACAGTATATTTTAAAATGAAATGGAGATCTTTTTTAAAGGTTAAAACCTCATTCAATTTTATAATGAGTTCAATATTGTATAACTGTATTAATTCAACTGTGAACCTAAAAATTTACAGCCTCTATTGAAAGAGATGCATCTTTGCTCTGGAATTGTTATTGAATATGTCAATGCTGTAATGAAATGCTTCTTGTAATCATGTGCTTATTAAATAAATAATTAAAAATATTTTATATGAATAAGAATACTGATGTAATCTTTTATATTAAGAAAACAAAGGATATTTAGTCTACCTGTTTCTTTTACTATGTTACCCCTACTATATGATTTTAGTACCACAGTTACTGATGTATTTGTATCAGTTTTATGTTAAATATTCTCCAATAATTCTGTTGAGTATTTTAGTTTTATTCACTATATTTGGAAGAGTCTAGGTACAAACCAGTTTGAACTTAGATTATGCAATAATTCCTCATGCTACAAAAGTGGCAGTGAAGGACGCCTTACGGGTCTCAGCTTGGACAGTGGCATTGACTTTAATAGCATAAGCAATATTCACTTTCTCTGTCTTGTTTCTTTCCATAAACATACCCAGCTGAAAGACAACATTTCTCATCCTCCTCTAAAGAGAAGATAAGACATGTCGTGCATTTCTGGCCAATCAAACATAAATGAAATTCATAAAAAGCGACAGGAGCTGGAAGATGGAGCAATTGTCTTTCATTATTGAGGTATCCATTGGAGGAAAACCATTAGTTAATGGTGACAGAGCAGAAAGGAAAAGGATATGAATAATAGGCCCTTGGACTTCTTATCCTGACCTTGCGTGTGTGTGTGTGTGTGTGTGTGTGTGTGTGTGTGTGTATGTGTGTGTGTGTGTGTGTGTGAAAATAAACAACATTTATATTTAGTTCCTGTGACTGAGTTCATTCTATACACAAACACAACACATAACAAGTATATTTAACTTCTTTTCTGCACTATATGGCTTCTTGGTCCATTTTGCTTTGTACTTTACTTTGCCTCTGGACTTTAAGGGCAGATTATATTCTCTGTCTTTGGTCTCTTGAAGTTTGGGGCTTGACTCACACTAAATATTTTACTGTCTTCTCTTCCTTTCACTTTAGTCAAGTGCAAATGTTTACTGCAATCTACCTCCTATATATTTATCTTTTGTATGTGTATGTTCTGTGGTTTTGAAGGCTACTGTCTAACTGGAGTGTGCACAAAGGACTCTCAGGGGTTTGACACAGGTTTTAGCTACTTTTCTGTTGTTATGGTAGAACACTGAGGAAAGAAAACCAATTTGGAAGAGGAAGTGGTTTATTTGGCTTATACGTCCAGATCACAGTTCATCATTGAGAGAAGCCAAAGCAGGAACTTAGGGCAGGAACCTGGAGGTAGAAACTGAAGCATAGATCTTGGTGGAATGCTACTTACTGGCTTATTCCTCTGATTTGTGCTCAGCCTGCTTTCTTATATAACCCAGGATCACCTGCCTAGGGGTAGCAATACCTACAGTGGGCTGGGCCATCCCACATCACTCAACAATCTAGAAAATGCCTCAAAGACATGCCCACAGGCCAATCCAAAAGAGAAAATTCCTCAAATGAGAGTCCCTCCTCCCAGGTGTGCCAAGTTGACAGCGGAAGCTATCCAGCACAGCATTATAAAACACATATACTCTACTTGGAGCCTTTGGTCACCTGTGGGTACACAGGTGTGCAAGGCAATAATTTGCAGAAAAGAAAAACATGGTGACTGTTCATGAATTGCCTTGAGCTCCATCAGACAAAATGTGAAATGTGTAGTTCTTTGATCCTACCAGTTGAATGCCTTCACTGTCAATATAGCCATCTTCTATGTAACAAACTAGTTTGTAAACTAACAGAAACTTGACTTTGAGAGTGCAGTTGGATAGCCTGTGAACCTCCCACTGTGAGATGCTTTGGAGGAAGATGTGATGTTTGGTTCTGGAGAAGCCAATAAAGGCTATTACTTGCCTTCATTGTCATTATATAATAATTATTTTAGGACTCTATTATCTCTGACACCTCATTGTAAAGCAAATGCAGAGTTGAAAATAAAGATATGATAGTGTTAGATGATTTTAGGCTTGTTTTTCTTCCCATGAGATACTTTAACCCAAAGAACTTAAATGACTTCTTGGGGGCCTTCTGCTAGTGCTAATCTTATTTAGATAACTCTAATTTAAATGGAACAACTCATCATTACACAATGCACAAATGAGTTTGAGTTAGTTCAAATTCACAACTGCAGATCAAATCATATAAATAAGCTTCAAACTGTGGAATCTTTTTCATGGTTAAGCCTCCCATATAGGAATGTGTAGAGATGGCGAAAGAGAAGGAAATGCTGCACGCATAAATCCTGGGCAAGTCAGTCAGTCAGCATCAGCCTCAGTCACAATATTGGTTATCACAGGACTGGAAAAGCAGGATGGGGTTACTATGGAAAAATTCAGATGTCTGGTGATACCAGATGTGGGTACATAAGTGGGCCAGAGGTAAAGGTCAAGTTTAACCTTTAGGTATCTAGGTATGGTGTGTGAGCATAAGCTGTTGTGTGTTGGTATGTGCATGTATATGTGTAGGGCACAGTAATGAGCGGGGGGGTTCCTGGCTGCTTAGTGATATTGCTATTCAATGCCAGGAGAGAGTTGACTTTTGAATCTAATACTGACTGATGGATATATTCCATCAAGATAAGACATAAGTCAGTATTCTATTTGAGAGACTGATTTTCTGGTGTTGCCTCAACCTGTTAAAGCACTGTATAGTCATTCAAAACACGGTGTCATGTTGTGCATTAGATTTAATTTACGGGCTTCCAGCTAAGGAAGAATGGTTGTTTGGAAGGGGTTATATATAGAGAAAAAAAGAGACAGTGGTAAAGAAGATTGAAAATTTTATTTAAATCTATTGTTGATACATTGAAAGCTGAGCATGTTTATGGTAAAGGATTTAAAAAAAATCTTCTCTCTCCAGGTTCACCACTATGGCCACCAGTTCTTAATGTCTTCTGTTATTACAATGCAGGGGTTGTGATAACTGACACATTATCACAGAAAAATAATCTCACTGCCAAATATAAACAGGGTGGGGAACTTTAAAATAAGAAAATATGAGAATCCAACACTTTTGTGCTTTGAAGTTGATATTCTATCAATATTCTGACAATATTTTATTTCATTTACAATCTTTTAGCTACACAATGCTAAAGGAAAACATACTTATCTGCATGCAAAGCAATATGACTTCAGAGTATATCTCTTAAATTTACAGAACTTAAAATCAACATCCCAAGTGACTTGCAGGTGATGTTGTGAAGGTGGTTGTGAATAGTGGTACAATTACTTCCTATAGATTAAAAAAAATAAAAGCAGTTATTTAACATAATTATAATAACCAGA